GTTCAATGACAGTGACATCGATACCTCTAAAAAAAAAACAACAAACAGAAAAAAGAAAGAAAGAAACTCTGCAATTTGGGGCAGAAATTATCAAGAAAGCATTTCCAACATATAATAAAATTTGCCTACTTTTCATTTATATTCGTTAGTTCCACTATGCCTTCTGAAGGTGGCATGTGATATCAAACTATTTGTCTCTTTATCTCTTCCTTTCTTTATAATCTTTGGCAATATATTATTAGCATAATAGATAGTAGGATATACAACAAAATGAAAATATAACCTCCAGGTGGCTTTGGTAACACAGTCCATAGGGCATTGTGCTGTTAAACTCTTTGGCAGTTCAAATCCACCAGTGACTCCTAAGGAGAAAGATGGGCCATCTGCTCAAGTGCAATTTACAACTTCCGGAAAACCTGCTGGGGGGGTCAGCTATAAGTTGGTTCCAATTAGATAGTAAGAAGTTTTAGTTAATACAGCTTGAAAACTGTATTTATACCCTCTGTACCAGCCAGATGTGCCAGATGTGGCCATAAAACCATGTTGTGGCCAAAAAGATGTAAAGGGAAATGTCTGTGGAAATTCTGAGCAGGCTGGTTAAAAGGAAGAAGGCATGCAGAGCACCTCACTGCCCTCCCACCTCACACACATTTTCTGTCTAGCTCTTTTGCACACAGTGGTAATTGCAGGAGCTTTAGCAATTTACAGAGAGGCAATCTTGGAAATTAGCATACACTGAGGATACCAGAGCACGAAGATACAACAGGGGCCATCCATGAGTTCATGGAGATGTTTTTCCAGTCCTCATCGGTTCATCTCTGAATGCTTTTATATAAGAGAACAACCAGTATGACAGAATAGTTTAAGACTAAACTTAATTCTATACTGAGTTCACAGACATGTCCTTAATATTAGAGGAGACTATTACATTTGACCTACATCCTCTCTGCTTTAAGCTTAACATTTTCAGCTCCTCCATCCTCTGAATCATCCTCTTCTTTATAGGGTCAAGCTTCTCAGGATTCTTAGCTTTAAAATAGAACTCATCTCAATCTACCTGTAGTTATCTAGCCAGTACAGAGAAGAAGGGAATACTAACTGCTTCTCAGTTCATTCCAAGACAGCCTACTCTTTGGGTTTTGTTGTTGTGGTTTTTTTAAAATAATATTTGATTTTCTTTTTCTTTTTTTTTTAAAAAGCTGGACAAGTCCCTTGTCCTGATTGAGTCCATTTACCCAAGAGATAAGTTAAATATTTCTGCAGTGGAGATAGCGTCACTCTTCCTAGGGGGATGTCTTCTTGGCTCCTTTCCCAAACTTGGCATCAAGACCAAGACCCAGGAACACCAGCATGGTGCCCACCCACTGCATGGAACTGATGGGGTTGGCGAAGAGGATCACAGAAGCTAAAATGGTAAAGAACTTTTGAGTTGTAGTGATGATGGAGCAGGTCAAGGGACCAAAGTACACAACTGTTGTGAAGATAAAACTTTGACCCAGGGCACTGGTCAGGCCAAAGAGCAGGATGTTATAGATGATGGCAGGGTACCTCTCAGCAAAGCTCGAGAACTCCCAGAGCTCCCCAGTGAACAGGATTCCAGCTCCAAGCAGCAATGTAGACCAAAAGTTGATGTTCAACATAATGTGGTTGGAGCCTGTTTGGTAATGAGCCCTCATATGATCCTGGGAAACACCTGTTAGTCCATCCAACGTACAAGAGCTGCAATTGGCTTGCAGGATTTACCAAGGACCTGAGTTGGGTAGTTGACAAACTGTAGTGCTGAGTTGCTGGAAACCATGGCACCCAGATAGGAGACAGAACAGGCAGCATAGAGCCCCCAGCTCTGGGTACGATCCACCCTGGCAGTGTAAAAAAACTGGATCAAGATCTTGGCAAATACAGCATTGATCACACACTGGATGAAGACAAAAGTTAAGGCAAAGGTGAATGTCTCTTGCTTGGCTCCCTCTCCATACTTTCCTCTTGTTATCTTTTCCTGCAGTATCCCATAATAGAAATAGCAGACAAAGATTCCCAGGAAGCAGAGTGGCAGGCGCAGCCGGTCGGGCACCAAGGAGCTGCTAGTGGCCATGAGACGCCCAGACGAGCTGACTGGAGCTCCGCTTATAGCCGGCAGCAGTGGCAGCAACAGCTCCAGTCGGACATCGCCAACTGGTGGCCCTCTTTGGGTTTCTTAAGCAGCCCTCAAGACTATGGGACCTATGGTGGCATACTGATAAGAAGCTGTTCTGCAATCCCAAAGGCACCCAGTTCAAATTCACTAGCTCTTCCACAGAAGGATGGGCAATTTCCTGCAGGGTGATTTATTGCCTCTGAAAACCTGCCGAGTGTCGGCTATGATTTGATTCTGACTCTAAGGCACACAATAACAACCTCAAGACGAAAGGTGCATACTCGTTATGAAGAGCCAGAAAAACTACAAAAATCTAGCCTCTGCTTTCTTTGTCTTCACTTGAATATTATTAAGCCAGGCTTTCCCTACCCTGAAGAAAATGAGGGGTGAGGTGTTTGTTTGTATTTTCTTTAGCCTAACTGTAAAAACTTTATATTTCTCTCAATTGCATTTCTTCTTATTAGTTACAGTGTTTGTATTTCAACTCATGGCAACTCTATGTACAATAGTTCTGAACTCTGCCTAATTCTGAGTCAGTCTCACTATCTCTGACACACTTATACACATTATCCCCCGTCACTGTGTCAATCTATTACATCTGAGGTCTTCCTCTTCTGCTCTGTGCCTCTAACCTTCCAAACATGATGTCCTTCTCCAAGGACTGGTCCCTCCTGGCCACATGCCCTAAGTATGTGAGATGGAGCTTCAAAATTCTTGCCTACAAGGAGAAACTTAGTTTGATCAGTTTCATCCTACCTGTCTTTCTCTTAGCAGTCCTTGGTATGATTAATGCTCTTCTCCAACACCACAACTCAAAGGCATCAATTCTTCTGTCATTCTTAATGATTATCCAGCTTTCTGATGCACAGCAAGTTATGGCAAAGACCATGGCCTGAATCAGGCACACCTTAGTATTACTCTAGGCAATGAAAATCTGCACAGGAAACTCAAACTCATTGCTGTGGTGTTAGAACTAACTCATAGCTGACCCACCAGTAAGTTTTTGGAGACTGTAAAGCTCCTGAGAGGAGACTGCCATCATTCTTTGCAGAACCACTGTTGTATGAGGTTGAGTAATAACTGATCCATGGCTGGCACTCTAGTGCAGTTTCAGAGGCAGAAAACGACATGGTGCACTCGGAAAGTCTACAGTTAGAAAGTCCAAATTATTGAGGGGTAATGATGTCAGTTTGAGAACTAAGGTGTGTCTTATTCAGGCCATGATCTTTTAAATCACATGATATGCATCGGAGAGCTGGACAATGAATAAGGATGACAAAAGAATTGATGCCTTTCAGCTGTGACAGTGGAGAAGAGCACTGAAAATCCCATAGATTGGCAAAAGAACAAACAAATATGACTTGAAAAGGGTGTATCCAGAGTGCTCTTTGGAGGTAAAAATGATAAAGCTTCACCTCAAATATTTAGGGCACATTGCTAGGAGGGGCTATTCCTTGGAGAAGGATCTGATGCCCAGAAAGGCAAAGGTTTAGGAAAGGAGAGGAAGACCCTTGAGCAGGTGAATTGACACAGTGACTGCTGTAACGGACTCTAATGTGTCAGGAAGTGTGAGGGTAGCAAAGGATAAGACAGGGTTCAGATCTATTCTTCAAAGGGTCACTGTGAGTCATACTTAATTCGATAGCATCTGACAACAACAACAAATTACATGGGAGGAGATTTCCCATTCTTTTTTAAATAATTATTCATTTTAATGAAAGTTTACAGAGACTTAGGGTTTCCAGTCATTCATTGTTGCTTTTCTCCTTGCTCACTCCCTCCCCCCAATTCACTTTTCTTCTTGATAATAAAAGAAATATTCTTTCATTGTTATGTAATCCCTCTTCCCAAGTACACGGCACTGTGCAGGCCTCATTCTGGACTCCTGTCATGACAATAAGACCCAATCATATATCCCTTTTAAGCAGTTCTCTCCCTCATCTGTTGTAATGCAGTATACATCATTCCTCCCTCCTTCTCTATCTTCCCTCAACTCCAATGTCAGTCCTGTTTTACAATAGTGGCCCTATGAAATATTTATGCTTTTGTGACTTAGCTTTTTCACTCAGCATAATGTCCTCTAGGGTCATCCATTTACATAATATTTCATGAGTTCCTTGTTTTTCAGTGCTGCATAGTATTCCACCGTCTGAACATACCAGAGCTTCTCTATTCATTTGCTGATGAACACTTGGTTGTTTCCAGCTCTTTGCTATTGTGAACAAAGCCACAATCAACATGGGTGTGAACATATCTACTTGGGTGGCAGTTACGGTTTCTTTAGGGTAAATTCCCAGAAGTGAAATCGCTGGGTCGAATGGTATTTCTATTTGCAAATTTTTGAGAAAGCACCATACAGCCTTCCATAGTGGTTGCACCATTTTACACTGCCACCAACAGTGAATAAGATATTTCCCATTCTTCTCCAGTGAATCAGAGTTCCTTTGTGAGTGCAGCACAGCTTCTTACCATTAGCCCACCACAGCATGTTGTCAGGAAGAAACAATCTTTAGAGAAGGCCATCATGCTTGACAAGGTGGAGACAGCACAGAAGAGGAAGACCTCAGATGAGATGGATTGACACCGTAACTTGGGTAATAGGGGTAGCTGTGCTGGAGGAAGTAAGATAGGATAGGGCAGAGTATAGACCTATTGTGTGTAGGGTCGCTATGAGTCACAAGTGACTCGCCATGTAACAACCTAAAATGGAAATAATCATTAAATCACAATTATAATTTATAATCCAGTTTTCGTTCCTACTGTGTATCTTCAGGACACTTGGTTAAAAAGTGCTCTGTAACTTCACCAAGTCTTATAGAGGGATGAAGTGATTGTTGTTGTTGATCACCTTCGAGTCAAGGATAATTCATAGTGACCCTATGAACAAAAGGCCTGAAGCCCCTCTACAACTATCAACATTTATCAAAGTTCATAGAGTTTCTGGAGGCAAGTTGTTTAGGATGTGGATTCCACTTATGCTTCCAAATCTGTCATAGTATGTTATTGGTTGAGTCGCCTGTGATGCATAGCAACCTTATGTATAGCAGTTCTGAACCCTTCCCCTGTCCTGAGCCAGTCTCACTAATTCTGACACACTAATCCCAGAACATGTAATCGTGCTAATGTGAAACCTATACTTGGACCAAGAGGCAGTCATCAGAACAGAGCAGGGCAACACTCCATGGTTCAAAATTGGGAAGGGTGTACGCCAGGGATGTGTCCTGTCTCCATACCTTTTCAACCTGTATGCAGAGCAGATTAGCCGAGAGGCTGGGCTCTA